CCCCAGAGGCCACAAGGCGGGGCGCGACCCCTCGCCCGCGGGAAACGCTGCGCCGCATGGCGGCGAAGGCGGCGACGACGCAGCGCAAGGAGCTCATCGCCCAGGCGGCGGGCCCGATCCACTACGGCGCGGACCGGCGCAGCGGCGTCGAGCTGACGCACAAGATGGCGGCCTGCTCCGCGGAGGCACCCCAGAGGGCGGCGTTGTCACTGGGCGCAGCGAACGCTGCCCCGCCCCTTGCGCGCCTCGCAGCTGCGTGGCAAGGCGGGAACACCACGCACGGTGCCCACTTCTCTGGCGCTGTTACCGCGGCGACAGCATAGCGGGGGCTCGACCAAGGCTGCCCCCTCTTGGCGGCTATTTTCGCAACAGCCACTGCGACCCTCTACGAGACATTGGCGCACATACTGCGGCGGGGGAAAGGCGCCACCGCGGTGGCGGACCTGGGCGGCGCACGCCCCGGTGGCACACCAGAGGGCTCTACGAGGCGCGCAGACTCCGCCTGCACGGGAACACGACCAAGGTGTAGAACCCGCATAACCTGCAGCTGCCTGCGACCGCGGCTGCGGCGGAAAAGCCCGAGCTCACGTGCGCGGGCGCCCGCCTACCTTCCCCGGCAGGGCCCTAGAGTTCGAGCGGCGCCCCGGCGGCGGCCAGCTTCGGCGCGGCGGCTGCGCCAGAGACGCCTGCCCAGCACTTGGCGGCCGACTCGACGGCGCCACAGACCTTGCGCAAGCATGGCTTGAGAGCGCAAGAGCAACGCGAGCTAACGCTCCTGCGCACTTTTGCTAACGAAGCTGCTCTGCACCAAGCGCGCGCATTTGCTCAAATATATCTGGCGCACCGACTAAGACGCACGGGTTTTGAGACACCTGCAGGACGCGGTCGGGCAGCCCCTGGCCGCGGCGGCGCGCGAGCAGGCCCACATCGCCCTGACAGACGGAGGGCTCGGCTTGCGAAGCCTCGCGGAAGGCCGCCCACCCGCTTTCGCGGGCTCCTGGCAGGCGCGCCCGGCCGAAGCGCGTCGCGGGCTCGCGCTGCCAAGCCTCGAAGCTTTCGCTGTAGCCTGCCCCCGCACCTGGGCGACTGCTACACGGGCGGGGCGCTTGGCCGGCGCAGACGCCACTGCCCGGCTGCGCGCGGCAACGGGAGAACGCGGCGGCGCCTCGCGAGGCTGGCGCAGAAACGGCGCCGCGCTCGCCTGCTCGCCCCCTTGCCGCCACCACAGCAGGCGAGCCTCCGCGCGGCCAGCAGGAAAGGCGCCGGCAGCTGGCTCCCCCCGCCCACGGAGCCGGACCAAGTCCTCGCGGACGAGCACATCCAGCCCGCGCTGGCCATGCGACTCTGCCTGCCTCTGCCGCCGGCGGCCAGCGCAACCTGCCCCCAGCGCCGCGCCGACGGCTCCTCCTGCGGGGCCGACCTGCGCAGAGACCCTGGGCAACATCTGGGCTGCCCGGCAGGAGGGGGCGGCACTGTGCTGAAGCACGACGGCGCCCGCGACAGGCTCGCGCGCTGGCTGGCGGCGCGGGGCGCCCCGGGCGCGACGACAAAACTTGTCGCCCCCGCCTGGGGCAGACGGCGCCTGGATCGCACCCTCGAGGCCGCGCGGCCGGCCGCGGCCTTCGCCGACCCGGCCGCAGGAACCACCTCCGCCGACGCGGCAACCACCGCCCCACCTTTGGCAATTGGGCTCGGGCACAGCCGCCGGGCGCAGCCGCGCCGAGCGCAACGGGGCCGCGGCGGCGGCGGCGGAGGCACGCAAGCACAGCCCCTAACCGGGCCCAGACCTGGTCGCCTTCGCCCAGGGGGCGCAGGGGCGATCCGGAAGGAGGCGCAGGCGCTCTTGCGGACCTGGGCGGCGGGCGATCCACGTGACGCTGACGGCGGCTCGCCTGGGCCCCTGGCCGTTCCAGCCGTGGATGCGGCAAGCGACCTCGGCTAGGCCGCGCGCCGGGCGGTTGGCGCCCCCTCCGGCGCCAGAAGGCAGGCTGCCAGGGCGTTGGCAAAGGCGGCTGGGCCTGGCGCGCAAGCGCGCCGGGGCGGCGGCAGGCGCGCTGCTGGCAACCTGCCAAATCGGCGCGAGGCAGCGGCCAAGTCGCCGCGAAGCAGAAAGTTCCTGGGGGAGCGCGGCCGGCGGCGGCGGGGAGCTACTACTCGGCCGGGGGGGCGGGCGCCTTTGGGGGCGGGGCGCCGCGCGGCGGCGGCGGCGGCTGGGCTACGCCGGGCCGTTGCGGAAGCTGGGCGCCGCCGCGCCGCGGGGCGACCGCGGCCAGGCCGCGGGGGCGCCAGGCGGCGGCGGCAGCAAAGCGGCGGCGACGGGCGGCAGGCGCGCGGGCGAGCTGGCGGAGGCGGGCGCCTGGCCCGCGCTCGCCGCCGCCTCCGCCAAGTTGTCGCGGGCTCGTTCGGCGCCAGGGGGCGGCGCGCAGGAGGCGAGCGGACACGCGGCCCGCCAGGAGGGAAAAAAGGAGGATGACGAGGGGAAGAGGAAGTACAGGAGGCCCTCACTTAAACGCGACTGCGGTGTCGCGTGCCTTCAGCATCGCGTACGAACGCCGAGCGATCAGAACCAGCATGCGCCTGAACCTCGGGGGGTTTGGGACACGGCTCAACCTGGCGGTGCCAAGCGGCGCAGACCCAGACTTTCCTGCGATGGGAGGTTAGCGACATGAAACGCACCTGGAGAAAGCCGCCACCGCAATGAAGGCGGCGACGGGCGGCGACGAGGCGGCGACATGGCGGCGACGGCGGCAACATAGCCGCCAGACCGTCAAACGGGCCCAGGCGACGGGCGGCGACGGGGCGGCGACGGCGAACACAAATCCGCAGGACTGACAAACAGACCCATGCGACGGGCGGCGACGGCGAGTACATAGCCGCCAGACCGACGACACGGCCCAGTTCCTCAATCTGCAACCGATAGCGCGTATACATGCGCAACCTTATGACAGCGCGCACACAAGCATATGCACGGCGTAACTTTACACGCGCATCTGGATAATTCACTCGTAACCAAGGGGCGCTCGGGAGGACCATGGCCTACACAGGCACAGTGCATGCATGCGGGAATATCGCCCTGCAGGCCGTCGCACTGTCAAGGGTGGTGCTCGGGGGCGCCCAGGCTGCAGGGCGGAGCCTGGACTGGATATTGCACGCGTGGAAAGCAATGATCACGCGCTCCAGTGCCAAACGGTGGGACGTCACCGAGGCGCCCGCGCGCAAACCAAATCTCTCGCCTAGGCACTCTGGGGCAAGGATGCGCGCGTGCCAAACCATGCACGCAGCGTGCCACAAGTGGAAGCACACTGCGCAGTCGGGCATGGCGTCTCTCGCGTGCGGATCTCCGGGCCGCGAGCATCCGAAAACGCACCCCTGGTCCCCCGTGGAGCGGCGCAGTCGGCGGGAGGCGGCCCGCCCGCCCACCCGGGTCTTCAACGGGGCTGACTGTCCCGCAGGAGGAAAAGTTCGCATAAGCTCCAGGACTGCCCCCACTCGATGGGCCCCTGCAGAGGCTCGGCCCCAGGAGGCCCCCAAGACTGCAGACGAGAAAGGAAGGTAGAGGCGAGGGAGGACACGAGGAGCGAGGAGACAAGGCGAGGGTGAATGAAACGCTGCAGACGAGGGCGAGGGGCGGAGTCCACGATGGCTTGTCTCGCAGCACGCCGCCACTCACGCAGGGCGCCCGCGCGCGCGGGGGACGCCTCGTCGCCGCGCTCCACGAAGCAGTAGGCCGCCTCCAAGAGGTCCTTGGCAATGGGCTGTTCGAGCCAGTGCGTCGGGGCCATGTTACCTCTGTTCGGGAAGTGATTGAACGTCAAGTCCTCGCCCATTGTCTTCGTCAACCTCCTCAACCACAAATCCCAGTTCTGAACCGTTTCTTTCGAGCTCCCGATGAGAGACGAGAAGTTGGGCAGATCCATCGACGTCGCCTTCAGGGCCCTGGACCACTTGCCGACCCCCAGCAGGTCCGTGCGGGGCAAGGACTGGGGCGGCAGATGCCAGATACGATGCAGCAGCCACGACTCCTGTCTGCAAAGATGGTGAGGCCGATATAGCAGCTGACCCAGGCATGAGGACTTCGAGGCCGTGTGTTGGTTGCACAGCATGAGGCTGGTGCTGGTCGGCGCGCCGAGGTCCGCAATCGCGTTGGCTGCCACCGCCCAGCCCTCAACCACTTTCTGCCAGCGCCAGTCATTCGCCACCGCTGGACCGAGCAACGCGCCCAAGCACTCGAGCACCGGGGCGATCTGCATGTCGCACCAGCGAGGGGCCAGCAGCTTCATCTTTTGTCTGACTCTGTCAGCCAGCTCCTTTGAGAACACCTCCGCCAGAGGCGCGATCTTGCACATCACCGCCTTGTGGACCAGTAGGGCCAGTTGCTCCGCCGCGTAGAACACGCTGCCCAGGGGCCTCAGCATCTGCCAGGATGGAAGGACCGACCCGACATCGCCCGCACACGCCCCGATGACAGCCTGCTTGAAGTGGCGCGCGCGGTCGAACATGTCGCGGATCAGCGGGCCCATGCTGACTGCCCACAACGTTCCAGACCACGGACAGCCCTGCAAGCAACCAGAAGCCAGCCCGCAGAAGCTCAGGATATTGCGGCCCAGGTTGGCCCAGGCCAGCGGGAAAAGGTAGATGGCGTCGACCATGTTGAGGATGGACGGCGGGAAGCCGCCGAGGGCAAGGACCGCCCGCAGGAAGGCGCGGCACATGGAGGGGAAGGCGTCGCCGAAGTCGAACATGATCATCAGCGGGTCGCCACGACAATCTTGCAGTCCGTGTTCTTGAGAGAAACGGGTCGCGTCGCCTTTGCCGGCCTAGACGCGGTCTGGCAATCCTCGGGCTCAGAGCCCTTCGGCGCGAACACCAAGAGCGACTCGTTGAAGTCGACGGGAACAGGGGAACCTTTCAGGATCTCGATCGCGACAGTCAGCAGGGTCTCCGATGACATGGGCGTCCGCTTCCACGCCATGTAGGGGGGGGCCGACAGGTCCAAGGGCAGATATGTTCAGGTTGGCTATGGGTCGGCGCATCTTGCCGATCGTGGGGATGTCCATGTCCGAGCAGTCGAACGGGGCAACGTGCTTCGCCAGGCATCGCATGGCATGCTTTGTGCGGCTCAATCTTGACTGGAAGACGGGCGCCCACTGCTTCTGAAGCTCCGCTATCATCTCGTCGGGGTTCGTCGTCCTGGAGTGATCGCGCAAGGCCTCGATTGCCTTGAATTTCGACACCTTGCCAGTGGGGGCCCACAGCTTGCCGCGCTGCGCGATCGCCCGCTGCATCTTGCGAAGGCGCAGTCGTTCCCGAGCAGGGGCGTTGGCCGACTGCCCTCGTGCGCGGATCGCCTCCAAGCGCTGCGCCTGAGACTGGAGCTGGAACTCCTCGAACTTTCTGCGGAAGGCGACCAGGTCCTTCAGGGAGATGGCGTTCGTGTCCGCGATGTCCAGGTGTTCTGCCCCCAGCGCCGTGCGAGCACGAAGCGCGCGCGCCGCCTTCTGGTCATTCCTCCAGACAGCCCTAGAGATCGATCGGCATGTAGTGAGCGCCGCCGCAGTACAGAGGGCTCTTGAGTTTGTGAGGCCGTTGCGTACGAGGCGAGCAGCTTCGCGTTGCCGGCGCTGAATCTCGCTCAGCTGCGCGAAGGGGGCAAAGTCGCGCCATGGGGGGGGGGCCTCCGCCAGGATGCCAAGGTAGTGTTCGAATACCGGGCTCTCAAATATGTACTTCGGAATCGGCTGGATCTGGTCATCGAGCTCAGGATTGCTCCCAGCAGAGCGGAGGTGGACAGGCGCATGATCCGATATGTCGCGGTCGTAGAGCTCCTCAGGCGCGAGCGGGGCGTCAGCTCGAGCGCGCCACTGCAGTAGCATCCACTGCGGCGTGCTGATGTAGATCTTGTCGGTGCGCGTGCACTGCTGCGACTGCTCGGCGTAGTGGGCGGGAACCTCGGCGTAGATCTCCACCATCTCCTGTAGCGCTGGTTCCCGCGCCAGCTGATGCTCAGGATTGTGCCGACGGAGACGCGGGAACCCCTCGTTGATCAATGGCGTCTGCATCTCCATCGGCGACTCGTCCGCGAAGCTGAAGTCGCCCATGGCGATGACCGTGATCCGCTCGGGCTGCGCTTCAGCCGTTAGGACTTCAGCGCGGAGGAAGCGAGTGACCCTCGTGACCTGTTGCTCAGTGAGCCTGAAGTTGTGGGCGATGTAGATGGCGACCACATTCGGAAGGGCGTCGTCAGGGGCCGAGCTAGTCTGGATGAGTAATCGTTGCACCCTGCCAGGAAAGGGTCGTCGACCGTGGGCTGGGACAGGCCAGGCACAATGATTGCAACTCCACCGGTGCCGCGCTCAGGGATCGACGAGCAGACCGCCGCCTCGATGTGGGCCAAGTGAACAGCATGAAGAAGTTCAGCGTGCGAGCCGTGTACTTCCTGGAAGGCCAGCAGCGACGAGGATCGCAGCACCTCGTTCACACAGTGGGTCTTGCGCTTGCGCGGCTGCACGTTGTTGCAGAGAAGAGCGCGGGCATTCCACGTCGAAAACGCGACGCTGCCGAGGGAGCGGGGCGCCCGCCAAGGCGCCAAGGCACGGCCAAATCCGCCACTGAACCTCCTGTTCCTCCAACGCGGTCGACTGGAAGAACTCCTCGAACCGCTCCTTGATGGCCACCCTCTCGATGTTGCGCGCGCAGCACCCGTCGCAGTTGAAGAGCAGGAGGCGCGATGGGGGTCTCTCAGGCGGCACCCGCCACCACCGATACGACTGGCATGTTGTTGCAGTAGATGATGCCCTGCTGTCGGTCAGCCCGCCAGCGCTTGTCAGTAGCGAGCTCGCGACCGAACTGAGCCAGCCTCTTGGTCTGGAGTCCTCGCCTTGCCGACTTCGCCGAGCGGCCCAGACCCAGGTAGAGCCGCGAGGCGTGGCCGTGGACATTGGTGGCCTCGGTGTTGGTCCAGGTGCCATCAGCTTCCTTGAGCTTGGCGTAAACGGTGCGAACCTCCCTGGCAGCGGCGTTGGCGCCCCCCGAGAACTGGACCACGAAGCGTCTAGCGGGACCGTTGCCTTGGATCGACCATTGGGTGTCCTCGAGCTCGCGCTTTGCCATGATGGGCTGGACGCCCTCCTTGAACTTGTCAGTAGCGAAGGTCTCGGCAGCGGTGCCCACAATGATGCTGGCGTCCGCGTCTCTGTCCCGCTCCAGGAGGCTCTCATAGTCACGAATCGGGATCTGCGCCTCCTGCATGTGGGGCTGTTTGCGCATTTCGTTGAGCCGTTGCCAGATTTCCTTGTTGGCAGCCTCCAGCCTTTGGGCCGTGTCCTGGAGCGCTGAGATGCCCCCCCTAACCTCGTCATTTTGCTTGGATTGCTGGCCCACCACCGCCGCCAACGGGCCCTGGAGCTGCTCGCCGAAGTTGGCAATAACCTCCGCCTTGACCATGGCCAGCTTGACGTCCATCTGCTTCGTGAGGAACTCCTGAGAAGCAGCGATGGCGGCGTTGATCGCGCCCATGGGATCCACGGTTTCTCCTCTGGGGGTGCGCGGGATGGGCTCGCCATTCGGGTTCCTCGCGCGCTTGTTGAGCCACGGATCGCCTCCATGCTGCTGCAGTGTGTCGCCGCCACCGTCAATTGCCGAGGATGCCAAGGAGCCGCCAAAAGCCCGAGGCGCAGAAGGACCAGCGGGAAGAGCAGCGGAGCCAGCCCCCAGCGCCGCCGCCACGGAGGGCATCGCACAGGGAGAGCGGCAGCCTGTACCAGAGGGGCTGCGGTGTCTGGTGGGCAGGTGCCTGCGCCAGTGAAAACACGATGCGCCGAAGGCGCGCGAGGAAAGTTGGCGAACAGAAGCCCCATGGACTCGAGTTGCTGCCCACCCCCCGCCATATTGAGCGAAAAAGGTTACGACGTACATCTGGAAATGTGTACCTATGTAAGTATACTTGTAGATGCATGTAGGAAGGAGACCCTCCGAATGAGAGGGAGGGGGGGAACCAAACAAAACACACAACAAACAAACAGGCAGCTGCAAAGAGAGAGGATGGATGCGGGGGGAGCGACGGGAGAAGCAGGAGGAGCAGGGACAGGAGAAGGGAAGTGGTGATAGAGAGGGGTCGAAGGGGGAAAAGGGTGCACCGGGAGGATGTGTTCGCCTCGGCCGTGCGCCAGTACTCGATCTCCGCAACGAGCCTTCGGCGTTCCGACTCCAACTCCTCGGAAGGCTGCTCCTGCGCAAGATGGACAACACAAGGGGGGAGGGGCAGAGCGTAGAAAGATGATGTGTGGAGGAGGAACAAGAAAAGGATGAGGAGGAGGAGGAGGACAACGACATGGAGGACCAGTGGAAACCGAAGACCCACCAACGGTGTTGGAACAGACCCTCCCTCCAAACTTCCTCTTCATAAGCCTGTACACGCGCTAATTTCAACCGGGGGAAGTACCCCGCTGGGAGACAACCGTTTGAAGATCCCGAATCGCGCCAAAACACAAATCGCATAACTGCAACACCGCGAGCCAATTTGATTTTCGCATGGTGACGGTCCTGAGTCGTGCCAACACACCATTCCCAGGATTTCGACACCGCGAATGAATTTAACTGTTGCGCCCTGACAGTCCTGAACCGTCCTTGGCAATTTTGGCAAATGCAGTTCTTGCAACGTTCTGTGTTAAAATGTGCGCGGTGCGACAGCGAGAACCACAGGTTGAAAACGAGCTGCCGTCAAGCTTCAAACGAATGTACAGCTTTGACAGCGAATGTGCGCGGCGCTAAAGCGATAGCCACAATATGCAAACGAACAATTGTCAATCCGAGAATATGTTGCACATGTTTGAAACAAGTATGCGGCGCCACGGCGAAAACAAAGTTTTGAAAACGAAGCGCCCTCAATATGTAAAGCACTTGCAAAATGTTCATACAAATGCGCGTGGCGCTGAAGCGCGATACACATGTTTGAAACGAACACACGTGACGCTAAGGCGACAGCCACATGTTGGAAGCGACCCGCCCTCCATCTGCGAAACTGTTGCCAGCTTCTGAGCTTGAGGCTCACAAATGGTAAGGGAGCTTCAGGCGAAATGCCCAGACCGCGCTCACGGCCAACCTCAAGGTGCGACAGGGAAGAACCACTCACATGGACAAAACATGTAGGGAGAATACGTCGACGACGACGACGAGAAGCGGGGGAGGGGGGGGGAGGGGGAGGTGGGGGGGAAGAGGTACTCCGAAAGGGGCGAGGGGGGGACGGCGGACAAGGAGACACCCCCGTCGTGACAGGTCGCGCGAGGAAGAAGAGTCGGTGGTGAGGGGGGAAGGCAATGACGGGCGTCGAAGGTCCAGGCCCGAAGGTCGACACGTTGGGGTTCCTCTGACACCTTTTCGGGCCCCCTGGGGGGCCTGATGGGGGAACTGGGGAGTGGAAGCGGAAGGGGGGGGGGATGAAGCGGGAACGGCGAAGGGGGAAGGAGGGAAGGAGAAGGGAAGGGGGCGGACGAGGAAAGGGAAGGGGGAAAGGAGGCGGGAAGGGAGGGGAGCGAACAGAGGCCCTCCGCCCCATCTTTCCTTTCATCATCCGCATGAACTCAATTTTACGATGAGCTAAGAGCCTATAAAGATCTAAATCCTAACATACCTTATGGCGCCGTTGCGCCGCCCCTTCCGCCGCCCGTCCATGTTGGCACACCCCTCACGCATATCCTCGCCCTCGGAGTGGCGGGAATGAGGTTCTGAGAGTTTTTGCAAATCCCATAGCGCGCCCATGGCGCAGATCTTTGCAAGCCGGGATATGCATCGCCAAGGCGTCGGTAAGTTGCTGCGGGGAGCTACTCGTGTTTGTCGCTTCGCGCGCGCGTCGCATCGCCCTTGCATCGGCCTTCGCGCACCGCGCCGCAACGCTAAGGATGCGAACTGGGGATCCGTCTCCTCGAGGCAACGAGCTATCCCGCGCTCGTTGCGCAGCCACTCCATGCAATCTCACCGCCGCTGGGCGGCGTCCCTGCGACGCACGGGGACTCGCGTAAATATACGTTGTTCTTCAAATCGCGTCGTCGCGCGCGCGCGTGCCGCATCGCCGTTGCAGCGGTTTCCCAGAAGACTTTGCGCGACTGTCGTCGTCGTCGTTTTGAAATCAGTATCGTGGTCTTCGTCATCGGTATCGTCGTCGTCGTTTTGAGATCAGTATGCACTGGGTCATGGGTGGGTGGGACACGTCCAACAGGCTTCGAGTTTGGGCTAATGGACCCTAAAGTTTTAATTCCCTAGCACATCGTCGTGCATCTGCCCAACCCACCGCGCATCACCGTCGCCGTCTACGAGAGACAGGGCATCTCTGAGAAGCGTCAGCTGGTTGCCAGACTGAGTCGCCCATGCAGCCTAGGGCTGCCCTCCCCACTTTGGGGAGTCGCGATTCGACGCTTAACTCCCTGTGATCCTCAACAAATACAACACCCTAAACCCGGAGACTTTTCGCTCCTGATTCGCCCCCATGCATTTCCGGCACGTAGAAACACGTCTGGGGCGCTCTGGACGCTTCTGGGCGCGCCTGAGGAGCGCCTGGGAATGCTTGGGAGCGCCTGGGAGCACTGGGAGCGCTTGGGAGAGCCTCGGAGCGCCTGGGAGCGCTGGGGAGTGCCTGGGAGCGCTGGGGAGCGCTTGGGAGCGGTTGGAAGCGCGCCAAAAAACTCCCTGTGATCCTCAACGAATACAACACCCTAGAGCCGGAGTCTTTTCGCTCCTGATTCGCCCCCATGCCATTCCGGCACGTAGAAACACGTCTGGGGCGCTCTGGACGCTTCTGGGCGCGCCTGAGGAGCGCCTGGGAATGCTTGGGAGCGCCTGGGAGCACTGGGAGCGCGGGGCGCCTGGGAGCGCTGGGGAGTGCCTGGGAGCGCTTGAGAGCGATTGGAAGCGCGCAAAACGCTTGGGACCGCTTGGGTGCGCCTTTGAGCGGCGCCTGGACACGCCTGGGGGCGCATGCGTGGGAATGTAGCCTCGGAGGGTTCAACGCCCGGCGACCGCGCCCCACCGCAGAATCCTTTTTTCCGCTGCCGCCCATTGGGCGTTTGTGGGCCAGCGGCCGTAAACCCTAAACGGTTTTAGTTTGAGAGGTCGCCGGCCATGCGGCCGGGGGTGGGAAGTTGTTGCAGCTCTGGCGTCGTCGGCAGGCTTGATCGGGTCGGCGAAACACCTCCCCCAATCAAGCCTGCCGAAAGGGGGGGCAGCCTTGCCCTGACTGTCGGCCGCTGCGCGCCCGAGAAGCCCTAAACCCGAAACCCTGAAAACTAAGAGCCTATAAATATTTAAATCCTGAAATGACTTATGGCGCCCTTACGCCGCCCCTTCCGCCGCCCCCCATTTTGGCATACCCCTCACGCAGATCCTTGCCCTCGGAGTACCAGGAATGGTGTTCCGAGAGCTTTCGCAAAACGCAGGGCGCACCCCTCACGCAGATCATTGCCATCGGAGTGCCAGCGACTCCGACGCGCTTAAATATATGTTGTTCTTCAAATCGCGTCGTCGCGCGCGCGTGCCGCATCGCCGTTGCAGCGGTTTCACAAAAGACTTTGTGCGACTGTCGTCGTCGTCGTTTTGACATCAATATCGTCGTCTTCGTCATCGGTATCGTCGTCGTCGTTTTGAGATCAAAATGTCTTGGGTCATGGGTGGGTGGGACACGTCCAACAGGCTTCAAGTTCGGTGGACCCTAAACCCTAAACCCTAAAACCGTAAACGAATGCGCGTGGCGCTGAAGCGCGATACACATGTTTGAAACGAGCGCACGTGACGCTAAGGCGAGAGCCGCATGCTGGAAGCGACCCGCCCTCCATCTGCGAAGCTGCTGCCAGCTTCTAAGCTTGAGGCTCACCAATGGTAAGGGGGTCTCAGGCGAAATGCCCAGACCGCCCCCCCGGCTGGCCTCAAGGTGCGACAAGGAAGAATCACTCATAAGGAAAAAAATGTAGGAAGAGGATGCCGACGACGACGAGAAGCGGGGGAGAGGAGGAGGGCGAGGGGGAGGGGGAGGTGGGGGGGAAGAGGTATTCCGAAAGGGGCGAGGGGGGGACGGCGGACAAGGAGACACCCCCGTCGTGTCGTGACAACTCGCGCGAGGAAGAGGAAACGGTGGTGAGGGAGGAAAGGCGATGACGGGTGTCGAAGGTCCAGGCCCGAAGGTCGACACGTTGGGGTTCCTCTGACACCTTTCGGGCCCCCTGGGGGGCCTGATGGGGGAAAGGGGAAGTGGAAGCAGAAGGGGAAAGGGGAAGAAGTGGGAACGGCAAAGGGGGAAGGAGGGAAGGAGAAGTGAGGGGGGCGGACGAGGAGAGGGAAGGGGGAAAGGAGGCGGGAAGGGAGGGGAGCGAAGAGAGGCTCTCCGCCTCATCTTCTCGTCAGCATCCACATGAATTCCTTTTCCTTCGTACAAACTCTTCCCTGTCGCACCCCGAGACGTGGTGGTAGGGCGGGCCGGGCTTCGCCTGTGACTTCCTCACCATTTATGATTGTGGACCTCGGGTTTTGCAATAGCTTGACGGATGCACAGCGGATCGTTTAATTACAACATGTTGCTCTCACCTG